TCTTTCTTTTATATATTACCACCTCTGAATTAACTACTTTTATGAATCCGGTGTCCATCTTGTTGTGTTAATGAGATATGGCAACTTGAACCGATGTATATATGTTCCTGGTTTTACGTTGTAGCTGACTGACTGACCTTTATTTGTTCTATCCTGACGATAAATATTGACTGATTACCAGTTAGATGTTAGCAGTTCAGGAATCGACATCTGAACAATGGTCATTCTTCTCAATCCATCACATTGTTTCTGATTGTACTTTTTTGTAAATTTTACGGCGAAAGATCGCAAACTTTTCATAAACGCGCCTAAATAGGTTATGCGATTCATCGACATAATGATGGGTTAAAACAAACAAAAGACAGGTAACTTGTTAAGATATGTTGATGTCAGGAAGAGGTAGCCCAGATATTCAAACAGGCCGCCAAAATTATATGCACTATACTTCATCATTCGATTGGTATGAGGTCTGGAACACTGCCCGGGCACTTAAAATGGAGCAGGGTTTTACTTAGGAGGGGCACTCCCCGAGCCTTTGACCTGAACGTCTGATTCGCATGGCAGTGGAGCAACGTTAGGAGATGCGGTCCCATAGTAGCCGGTGACCTATAGTAGGCTCATACGTTATTTGTTTCCTCAGGATCCCGGGGCCCATGTGCACCATTGGTTTGGAATCAGGGTTTTCCAACTCCCCTAAATGGATCCTCCATATCCACCAACTCCGTTAAAGCGCCGGACATCCGCTTTTTGTCATCTCAATTTCGTAAACAACACCCCGGCTGAGAGAAGACAGTAGGACTTCGCCGACAGTGGCTGTATACGCGTGGTCATGTGAGAGCGTTTGGAGAGGGAGGGGTGACTCCCCACCCTCGACCAAACCAGAGCATTTGGGGGCTGATAGTAGCCTAGCTAAAATCAACTCGCGATTCCAACTATCAAAATACTACAATATCCAGAAATCCCCTGTACAAATTGTGTTTTATCTATAATGCCTTAAATTAAGTGGGGTGATTCCAATTCATAAGTTACTTAAACTGTTTTTTTTCAAGGTCCTAAGCTACGCTTATTGTGTAAGTGCTAAACACCACTCGGTTGGATTGTCTAGGTTTAAAGCTTTGAACCCATTAGTAAGAATTCAAAATTCCTTGACTTAAACTACAACATATCTCTTTAATGCCCATGCATTTCCACTCCATATTCTACGAAATTGGGAAAAGATTTGTTTGTTCTTTTATCGTGATATCATTTCACATGCTCCTGTACAGTTTTACTTCAGTTTATTATCATATCTCTTTTTTTTTTAATATATGCCTTATTACACATTACTTCTTACTATTCTATTTTAATTATTAAATCATTAAACATTGTTTGATTGAATCTCTTATTTGATTAAGCAAATAATAATTAATTGGTTCATTCAAGTTTTATATACATAAATAACAAAACAGAATATACATATATAGATATATATAATCACATTTTTTTTTATTGTCAAAATATAAAAAGAAAGTTAACAACATTAACCTAACATTAATCGTTACTATAGTGATTGTTTTCTTTTCACAGAGTTTAAACAAGATCGATTTTTTTCAAGAAAACTATCAAACATAAAAATTTAATTTGAAAGATAATCACCAAATAAAAAAAAAAGAAAACAATAATCGGCTCAATTAAATGTAATGGGTAAATATTTTTGATTGAGATCATGAATCGATTGATGTTAGACCACCATTGAAAACCTGGAAGTACTGAACGGCCGTCTCGTCCTATTGTGAAACTCCTCAGCAGTGTGCTTCCACGAACCTGCGAAAATTACCATGTGCACACTAGTGACTAGCTTCGTGAGAAAATTCTCAGAGTTCTGGTGAGAAGCCGTGACCAGTGGAGCTAATCAGTGTCGGGTAGAGACAGGTGTCTACCTCAGTACAATGGAAGATGCTCGCGCAATTTCATGGATTAGTTGAGGTTAGATATTAACACTGTTGGATGCCGGCTCAGTGGTCCAGTAGGTTAAGCGTTCGCGCGCAAGACTGACGTTCCTGGGTTCGAATCCTGCGACAGGAATCGTGTATGCGCACTGCTGATGAGTCCCACAATAGGACGAGACGGCCGTTCAGTGCTTCCAGGTTTTCAATGATGTTCTAATATCAATCGGTTCATGATCTCAATCAAAACTTAACAATCTCCACAACCCCTAAAAACTGGTAATTAGTAAATAATTGAAAAAATTATTTCTCTATGATAATTAATTCTTTCTTATTAATGTAGCAAATATATTTGGCAATAGATTGTGTATCAAATGCATCATCAAGAAATTCTGTATAAGCTAAAATTATTATTAATGTGAAATGTGGTATAGATGTGTGTTGGCTGAAATTTCCATACTAGAATAAATTGATAACATGAATAGCAATAGAGATTTTCAATAATATAGTAGCAATAATCACCAAATTACATCATGAGGCAAGCCCTAACACGGAATCCTGAAGGGAAGCGGAAAAGAAGAAGGTCAAAGAACACATTGCCCACCCCCAAGTGCCCTGGTACAGCCGAGAGCGGGGGGGTTAACTCTCCATCTCCAACTGCTCTCACATGGCCACGTGCATACAACTACTGTCAGGGAATTCCTATTCACTACCTTCTGGCTTTACTGTTGTTCACGAAATCGAGAGGACTAAAAAAGGATGTCCGGTGATTTAACCGGGTCGGTGGATACGGAGGATCCACCTAGGGGAGTTGGAAAACCCTGATTCCAAACCAATGGTGTACATGGGTTGGCTCCAGGATCCTGAAGAAAGAGATTATGTATGAACCAATTATTGGTCATGCTGGTTGTCTAAAGGGAACCTTACTGCTGTCACACCTCTGTACAGTCAACAGTACCACTTCGCCTTCGGACCTTGGGTTTGTTGCTTTTAGTCTTACCGCTCCTCAACCGACCTGTATGACATGGTAGGACCTTGAGGAACAGTTGTTCCAGCCAGTATATCTCGGTTGCTTCATCACGATAGGCAAGCCCGACCACCACGTCAAGGTAGCAACAACGGTCAGGAAGCAAGTGCATATCCCTAAATATCCTGATACTCTCAAGGAAAGAAAGTCCTCTCTTCTCGAAATTATTTAATGGCGCTATACAATCATAGCATCTATCTACTCACTGTTTTCGTGTTTCGGTGGTGTTTTGGGAAATGAGTGGATACACAGCGAACGTTCAGTGCTTAGACCGGGGTCGTAGATATAGAAGATCTAGAAAACACTAACTGTAAACCAGTGATGTATATGGTTTCCACGATCCTGGTGGTAGGACGAATGTTGTATAAATCTATTTTTTAGTTACTGGCTACCACGGGACGGCGTCTTTTGGTTTAGCTCCTCTACAGTGTGAAATTAAGTCAAAGGCCCAGGGAGAGTAGCGCTTTAAGGAAACTTGTTTCTATAGTTGAAATCATGAGTCAATTGACAATAGACCACCATGGAAAACCTGGAAGCACTGGACGGCCGTTTCGTCCTAGTATTGGACTCCTCAGCAGTGCGAGTCCACGGTCCCGCCCCCCGCGATATTCGAACCCAGGACCTATCAGTCTCGCACCGTTGAGTGCTTCCAGATTTTCCATGGTCGTCTAGCTTCAGTTGACTCCTGATTTCAACTATTGAAATTTCTAAAATCTCCACAAAACCCCTTCTGATAAACTTATTTCTGTTTGAGCTGCTGAGCAATATCTTGCCCCGTATATAAATATTATTTATGTAAAACATACTATTTGTGGTACCTAGTTGTACCAGATTTTATGTGAACTAGATGAGTAAACAATAGTTGATAGCATGTGTAATTAACCTACTAAATTATTGATTCGTTGCCTAAAATTACTTTACTTACTATAGTACTTTCTAATTAAGTTGTAGTAATCGTCTAATCAAATTCATTTTCATTGTTTCTGAATCTATGTAAGACTAAAAGAAAATGTTAATATAACAAACAATATTGAGACTATAGCTTCCAAAAAGATATCTAATTACTTGACGATACTTGCTTGGTATCAATTTTCAGTCTCCGGTCGTAAATCACTGCACTCTTAAACTAGATGTTACGTCACATATAATTGATTCATTCAGCATATTTCTGCATTACTATACGTTAAGATTCTATATATCATTTACATATTTATTCTATTCATTTATTTAAACACATAAATATTGGTACAAGAGAGGCATCGATTACATATACGCCACACTTCATCATTCGATTTATGTGAAGGCTTGGATACTGCTCAGGCACTCAAGACATTTACATACTGTAGCAGTTTATAAAAAAAATAAGTTCAATGGTTGAGATCATGAGTCAACTGAAGCTAGACCACCATGGAAAATCTGGAAGCACTAGACGGCCGTTTCGTCCTAGTATGGGACTTCTCATCAGTGCGTATCCACAACCCCGCCTCGCGGGATTCGAACCCAGGACCTATCAGTCTCGCGCTGGAGCGCTTAATCATTGGACCATTGGTCCGGCATCCAACGGTGTTAATGTCTAACTTCAAATAATCCGCGAAATTGAGCGACAAATCCACCATTGTCATCAGTGAGTAACTATCTCACAACTGACCCGGTTGAAATCCACTGATCACTGCCTCTCATTAGAACTCCTGGAAATACCTCTTGAAGCCAGTTACTAGTGAGCATATGTTGATTAGTATCACAAGAGGTTTTGTGGGTGTTGTAGTGATTTCAATAGTTGAGATGAGTCAGTTGAATCTAGACTCATGATTTCAACTATTGAAATTACTACAACACCCACAAAACCCCTTCTGATACCAAAAAAATAAGTGTGATTTTTACACTTAATTAATCACAATAGGCTTAATCATGAATCAGATTTTACTGTTAAGTGAACCCAATTAGAAAGACATAATTGTTCAGTTTATTCTATCCTTCCTTTCAAAGTTCACTTATTTGTTAGTTTTTTTGAGTCTTTACCACTTTATGTATCTCGTTTTTTTTTTCAGAGTTCACTGGATTCCATTTTCCCGCAACCAAATACCTTAAATCAAAGAACCACAACAAACATATCGAAGATAATAACAAACGATAAATCACATCGAAGTAAATCTTCAACTGTTCCAAATGTCATGAAAATTGTACGTAAAAGTTATGATACACTAGATGTTGGTAGAAGTCGTTATGAAAAACATTTAAAAGTTGATCCTGAATTAATTGCTGTACGTTGTTGCCTTTTTTTCTTTCTTTTCTATGTAACTGCTAATAACTAGGCAAGAGTATTATCGATCGTTTTCATATGACATTTTTCATCAATATTCTTATTTATTCAGTATGCCATAGTTTCATATTTTATCCGTTGGAGGGTTTCATTGTGACTGGTTCTCCGTTGTAGCTGACTGATTCATGACATTGTGTTACAACGATAACAGGTTCACGACAAAATCAAACTTCTATTGTGTGAGTTTGGAAACTGAATATGCACTGTCACGATCGTTATTTTGATTAAGATTTTCTTAATAAAGTAATCATTGTCTACAAAATGGTCTGCTTTGGTGACTGATCTGAGCATAGAAAGTCTAACTGATTGACTAATAAACTTATCTTTCAAGCTTCGTCAACCTTATCAGGTCATTGGCTGAGAATTTATCAGTACGGTTAATAAAAGCATACTTGATATTCACTAAGGTGCTTCACTTGTAGTGTAAGATGGGTGTCGACATATCATAAAATAAGTGTATCGCTTAGTAGACGACATTGTGAAATTCCATTGACTGATGTGTTTGTGACATGTACCACACATCTACAGCCAACTAACTGATTGTATAGTGGTAATCAGTAAGTGAAAAGAAGGTTAAGATTGGCTAATCTATGTTGTTGTTGAATGTTGGTTTGATCTAAGTATTGTGACTCCAGTTTACTGGTTAGGGTCCACTAAATGACTGTATTCATTTGTCTTTAGATATCTGATAATTGGTTACAGTGACCTAGGGAGATTCATTCTTCATCTTCTAAAACTTATGTGTTAAAAGTATTTCCTACTTTGTATTCTATGATTACACTCCTTATTAAAAACTATGTTCGGTATGCTAGGCTTGCCTGTACATAGTTAAACAGAACCCAAGTTTTGTAGTGATTGCCGAGCGTTAGTAATGGGTACATGGGAGCTTAGGGGAGCTGGTGCTCCCTGTGGGACTCGAATCTGCTTCGTCAAACTTCACTGTCCGAGATGCTACCACTGATGTATTTAGGTCTTCCTCGACCTCATGTAGGATTAAGACAGTCATATCGATTGATAACTTGATAGTGACCAGTGTCGTATTTGTCAAGTCCTTAGTGTTTACACCACAGACTGTTAAACTGTTTTTCTCAAGTTCGAGTCCCATAGGTAACATCCAGTCCCTAAAGATTGTAAATTCCCTTGACAATGAGTGTCAATTATCATGAAACCTAGGTGCAGGGTATCCTACTGACTGCCGCCAATCATTTAAGGTAGAATTATAATGCACCCAATGTCAATGCATTCAGCACAGTTATCATATTCTTACTTTATCGATAGTGTTCGGTTATTGCTAAAAACAACAACTGAGAATTTTTCTTTATTATTGAATAGTTACAGCATAAGATCATACATTTGACACTAAATTCCTTCATTTTATGGAATATTCAATCCGATCATACAAATTCATGTATACAAAATATGACTTTGGAACTTGTAATCTAATCATTTATAATTCATTATATAAAGTTGATTGATCAGTAAATAGTGACTAATTCTATATCTGTTTGGTCCTATTTAGTGCTGATGGTTGGAAGAAAGTTAGGGGCGGCCAAACCAAAACGTGGCATCAGTGCATGAAGTCACTAACTTCTAGTCTGAACCATGTTGGTAGATGCAGACTACTTGGTTGGGGTCCGCGTGACTTTCGTAACCAATGGTTGGAGACTCTTGGTGACATGGCTCAGAATCGATCACTATGGCGTCGGTGTATACACTCCCTGTCTTCCCTTAAACTAAGAGAATAAAATCACTTCATTCTTTCTGTCTACGAACTAATTCTTTCTTCCTGTACTGTATCCTTATTGCAACCTTTGACCTAACCACTCCTATGAATCCGCTGTTCATCTTGCTGTGCTAATGAGGTATGGCAACCTGGACCGATGCACATATGTGCCTGGTCCTACGTTGTAGCTGATTGACTGACTGAGTGCTGATCAAATTTTATTGATCAAGTAATGTGATCATAAGTTGAAGTAAATCCACATCTCATATAGTATATTGGATATTTAAAAGGTTTCTTGTTGACTTGCTCTAGTCATCTAACGTAGTTCAATATTTTCTTTCAATCATCGACATTTAATTAGTTTAACATTTGTTTTTATTAATTCATTTCTTTCTATCTTTTATAGCAACAAGTCACTTTAATTGAACTGGAATACTTTCAAGCAATCGAAGCAGATGTAAGTGGGTATTATATTTCATATATTTACTTCCGTTCTTTTCAATTCAGTCATTTAGTTATCTGTAACATAGAACCTTCCAAATTATATTAGTTAGCATAGTGTCCTAATAGGAAGGTTGATTATGAATACAGTAGTCTTGGGTGCTGTTAGAGGTATGAGGGCGGTTATCACTTCCCGGTTGCCCACACCGTGGAAGGGTTCTTCTGGAGGTACCTGAAAAGGAAATTGGATTAGAGGCGGTCTCAGTGACCTGAGAGCGTGACCGCAGTGCCCAAGGGACAACTGCTTGGGGCCGGTCGCGCACGGCTTTTTCGTGGGAGGTTTTTGACGTGTTAGCTCCGTTTTCCAAAGGGCCTTACCGCCGGAGACGGAAATCCGTGAGGTAAGGTGAGGTGCGCATTTTTAGGGTCGACCTTTTCTAACCCCACCCCTCCTTGTGGGAAGGCAGCATCGCTGTCATGCTGGTTGTCTGAAGGAAACACCTTACTGCTGTCACACCTCTGTACAGTCAGCAGTACGACTTCGCCTTCGGACCTTGGGTTTGTTGCTTTTAGTCTTACCGCTCTTCAACCGACCTGTCTGACATGGTAGGACCTTGAGGAACAGTTGTTCCAGCCGGTATAGCTCGGTTGCTTCATCACGATAGGCAAGCGCGACCACCACGTCAAGGTAGCAACAACGGTCGGGTGACCTAAACTAGATGCTGACATATATCTCATACATAAATTCTAAATATTTTAGTCGATAATGCTTTACAACCACTTAAATTATGTGTTTAGTTCATTTGTTTACCGATCAAATTGTTTAGATCTTTTACTCTCTCTTTTTTTTCTCATTAAATTATGTAATCTGTTTAAGCCAGTTGTTAAAAGTAATCAACTATGATCATTACAATTTGTTATGATTTCTATTACTACTCAGCTACTCTCATTGCTTAGTATTTTTGGACATTTCTTCACTCGACAAGCCCTCAAATCAGAATATGGTTGGACAGGAACGTAATTATATTCCATATAACAAGGTTGAATAGAAGTAGGAATCACAATAAGAAAAACGTTAATATATTTATAATTTTTACATAAGAAGATCCTAGAGTCTTCTCCAGTATCCACTAGCGCTGATTGGTTAAGAAATAGTCAATCTGTGTCCCCCAATACAGCCCTAGACGGAACATGTTTCAAACCAATCTATATCCTGCGAACACAGTTTAACAATTACATATATCAGTATAGGGGTTGTGTAGATTGTTAAGTTTTGATTGAGATCATGAACCGATTGATGTTAGAATACCATTGAAAACCTGGAAGCACTGAACGGCCGTCTCGTCCTGTTGTGGGACTGATCAGCAGTGTGCATCCACGATCCCCCCTCAGGAATCGAGCCCAAGGCCCTCAGTCTTGCGTGCGAACGCTTAGCCTATTAGACCACTGAGCCGGCACCCAATGGTGTTAATGTCTAACCTTAACCAATCCACGAAATTGCGTGACCGTCTTCCATTGTACTGAGGTAGATACTTGTCTCTACGCGACACGGATCAGTTGGATTGGTTGAGGTTAGACATTAACACTGTTGGATGCCGGCTCAGTGGTCCAGTAGGTTAAGCGTTCGCGTGCGAGACTGAAGTTCCTGGGTCCGAATCTCGCGGGCTGGATCGTGTATGCGCACTGCTGATGAGTTCCACAACAGGACGAGACGGCCGTTCAGTGCTTCCAGTTTTTCAATGATGTTCTAACATTAATCGGTTCATTATCTCAATCAAAATTATATATATGCGCAGTGTAGCTACTGAACATACAGTAAATCAGTTGATAATTTGGCGAGACTATAATTTATAGACGAACCAATCAGATATAAGATAACAGGTCTCGAATTTCGGCGCAAAACTCACTCATGTATTTTGTTAGGAAGAGTTTAGGGATTTTAGCTAATGTCACTTCGTGATGAAAACCGTAAATCTAATTCTTAACCTTAACCATCAATTGTAAATCATAATTCTTATCCACACAGGGTTGTAACTCTTATTTAGCTTTAGCAAGGAGTTGGACATTCTCAAGACCACTTTAACGCCGTTCATAGGTCGTCCATAAATTATAGTCTCATTGATAACTTGTTTCTCTCCGGAGTTGTTGCCTTGGATGACAATGACTATAACAGCTCCCCTGTTGAATGTTTGAACTTAGAGAGCACAACACAATTAAAATATGCTCTACCTGATTATAATTCAGTAATTGAAAAATAACTTCAATACTTCTGAATGCTTAGCATAAGCAAGTTAAATTAATTTCTTTTTAAAGTGATGTCTTATTCTTTGAACCGAATAGTTTTTATGAAGAAACTGTCATTGTTATTTATGCTGATCGATAATGCTGTATAAGACAACATATAAATATTGGTAGTGTTTCTTGACATCAGGGCTGCCTTCGATTCGTTGGATAGGACTGTTCTCTGGGATTGTCTATTGAAGAAGGGTGTGCCTGAGAAGTTTATTAACATCCTAAAAGCCCTGTATAAAAACACCTCAGGCAGAGTGAGGGCATACAACCACCTCTCTCCATTGTTCCATTCGAGCGGTGGGGTTAGGCAGGGTTGCCCAATCTCACCATTCCTCTTCAACTTTGCCATCGATGACATTCTGGAAACAGCTCTGATGAATGTAAGTAATGGTGGTGTGGATCTGTTGCCTGGAGAAAGACTTCTCGACCTTGAGTATGCGGACGATATTGTCTTACTGTGCGATAATGCCCAAGGCATGCAATCCACACTTAATCAGTTGGCAATCAATGTCCGTAGGTATGGTATGTGCTTTGCACCTTCGAAGTGCAAAGTACTTCTACAAGACTGGCAGGATTCTAATCCTGTACTCACCCTGGACGGTGAGCAGATAGACGTAGTTGAGAAGTTCGTGTATCTGGGTAGCTGCATAAGTGCTGGTGGGGGTGTGAGTGATGAGATCAATGCACGAATAGTGAAAGCCAGAGCGGCTTATGCCAATCTGGGCCACCTTTGGCGCCTTCGTGATGTTAGTCTGGCTGTAAAAGGTTGGATCTACAACGCGTCGGTGAGAGCAGTTTTGCTCTATGCTTGTGAAACCTGGCCTCTCCGAGTTGAGGACGTTAGACAACTCTCTGTGTTCGATCATCGCTGTCTCCGAAGGATTGCTGACATTCAGTGGCAACACCATGTCAGTAATGCAGAGGTTCGGCATCGTGTGTTCGGGCACAGAAATGATAACTCAATTGGTGTCACCATCTTGAAACACCGACTTCGGTGGCTTGGACATGTTCTCCGAATGTCGTCCCAGAGAATTCCACGTCGTGCATTATTTGCCGACTCTGGGACTGGTTGGAAGAAGCGGAGAGGTGGTCAGTGCATGACATGGTGTCGTGGCATGAAAGAAAGCTGCAAAGGACTGGCTTGTGTTGGTCCTTCACGACTCCCTGGTTGGGGTCTGAGAGATGGTGCAACACAGTGGCTAGAGACGTTATCAGATATGGCTCAGAATAGAAGCCAGTGGCGATCCTGCTGTAACCTTCTTTTACTTTCTTCATAAAAAGTGGTTGTGTCTCCCTTACCTGAAAGATTTCTTCTGATTGTACCTCTTCGTCATTACTCTCTTTTTCTTTTGCGTTCCTTAGTTTTTTTTTCTTTCTTTCTACTTCTCTTCGAATTCCCATTGTTTTGTGTGGCGCATATATATTGGCGCTCTCTTGTACCAATATTTATGTGTTCAAATAAATAAATAAATAAATTGGTACAAAGGGGCACCGAATACATATGCGTCACACAAGTCACTTGATTTATGTGTGAGCTGTGATACTACCCGGGTGCCCAAACTGAAGTAGGTGGTCCTCTTAGGGGGCCAAACCCGGGGCCTTTGACCTAGATTTCGGATCCACAAGGCAGTAGGGCAGCATAAGGAAATGTAGTCTCATGGTAGTTGGTGACCAATAATTAGTTCATGCACCATTTGTTCCATTAGAATCTCGGAGCCCATGTATATCATTGGTTTGAGATCAAGGTTTCCCAACTTTCCTAGGTGGATTCTCCGTATCCACCAAACCCGTTTAAGCACGTGACATTGACTTTTCGTTCCCTCAAATTCATAAACAACAGTTACTCTGCGAGAAGGCAGTGACTAGGACTTCCCTAGCAGTAGCTGGTTGTATACACGTGGATATGTGAGTGCATTTGGACAGGGAGAGTTGACTCTTGGCCATACCAGGGCATTTGATGGGAACACTGAAAATTTTTCAACTGTAACATCTAAATCATTAAAACAACATTATTTTACAAATACAAATTGAGTTACAGAAATTCATCTTAATTCAAATGTGTTAATAAAAATAAATTTTCGCTTACATAATTAAATGTGACAATTAAACACATTGTAAAACAATGAAAAGAAAAACAAAACAAAAAAAACGATTAAACTGATAAGTCTTGCTAATTGAACGCTATATTTCGTTCCTAAGCTATTCTTGTAACCCCCAACCTAGAACTACACAGCGACCGGAATACGAGAGAAAAGGCGCAAAATATGCAAGAAGCACTTTACTCCAATGGTTCGTTCGAATACAGAAAATCTCGGGTTTTTATAGTATTTTAGATGTTCTTGCGTTTTCGGAAAATTCTAGAATGCTACTAAACATAGTAGTACTATAGGTAATCATCCAATCAGAAACTGGACATGTAACTTTTCACTTTCGAGATGTTTCCGGCGAAACGTCTAGTGAATGTCAGTCAGTCAGTCAGTAACAACGTAGAACTTCGTACGTACGTACATCAGTTCGAGTTGCCACACCACATTAGCACAGAGATGCAGTTGTCCATTCAAATCCCGTAGTGTTTCCTGAGCCTTTCTTCGCTTATTTCGAGGAGTTTTCTGAATCGTTCCAACAAAAACTAACAAGAATGTTAAGTGTATAACTTAAATGAAATTCAATTCATTCAAATATATTTACTAATTAGTTACTATATAATGAAAAACTCTCAACTGA